AGGTAAAACATAAGGTAAAGTAACTCGCTTTGGATCAAACCAGACTACCGTTTCTCAGTGAGAGGGGCTAATTTGCCAGCTTTGCTTCTGGCTGTCAGGAGGTGATGTCTATTAATTTAAAATGAAATAAACCCAGGAAAAGTAACCTGAATGAATAAATGGGGTTCTGCTAAGTAACAGACAAAAAAGAACAGGCCTGGATCTTTTTCCTCAGATCTAAGAAATAATCTGAGAGGGGCTCCCAGCTTCTCCTTGTGAGATGTAGAAACTGCTCCTTCCCTTCTGCCAGCAAAGCAGGCAGGAAGCGGCTCCTCCTGGTGCTTCCAAGTCAGGTTTTCTGCTTCATTTGCCTCTTCCTCCTTTGCAGGCAGGAGGCTGCCATGGGCAAAGAGTTTGCCTAACCCGAGAGGAGGAAGAATGGAACGAAGCACGACACTGAGGAGACATACTGTTTGGTACCAACTCCGTCAATGCTTCTGCAAAGTGCTGAAAATGAAACCATTTAAAGCTGGAAGTTTCAACAACACGAGGTCTTATGTGAAGAGCTGAAAAGGAATCCCTGAAGCAGAGCCACAGTAATTGGAAAAAGGAAGTTTGGTAACTTCTCTGGTGGGTATGAGAAGTGAGAGAACACTGTACCTACCTACCTCAGAAGCAAGCAAACTGTTCGTCTTTGCTTGTCCCTCATTCTATCCCTGGACAAAAGCGACTGCATCTGCGTTTTCTAATCAATTGTCACTGAGATCACCCAGGAGCTGTGAAGACCTACCATCTTTCCCATCACCAAGAGGTACTTTCTTTTTGCTTGAGAAAAGCTGAGTGTGCAAAGTTTTCAGGTGCTTTTCCCTTCCAAACACCCATTTCTGACCCTCATCCACAAGAACATCCACATCAGTTCACCTCCAAACTCCGTTCACTGCCTGAGAACACCCAGCCAGGAAAGGCATGCAAAGGCAGCACTATTTCTGACTACATCCCATTTATCAAGCAAAGAACAGGACAGAAACATTACATCCTCTCCTCTCTGACCTCCACCATTTTAGTCTCAAACACAGTAAAACTAGTAAATGACAAGACCAGGTATGGAACACAATCTCCAGATACACGGGTTTAATTCTACCCACCTGAGCAGACTAATGCTCCAAATGACAGCCAGAACAGTTGGCTTTACTGAAGTTCTAGTACTTCAAACAAACATATGAATGAATTAAAAAAAAAAAAGAGAGTGAGGAATTTTGCTCCCTAGAAGCCTCCCTGAGGCTAATCGCCCCTGGCAATGGTGGTCACCTGCTGTAGGTACTGCACTGGGAGGTCCATTGTCACAGTTTCTCTTCTGCAGCACAAGTCTCACCAAAAGCACACAGACAACCATCGTGTGGCCAGCACATGCTCCCACTGGAAGATGATGAGACAATCACGCTTTGCTCTTCCCATCTCACCATGCAGTCATTTCAGAAAATGCAGCACAGTTACCACAGAGGATCACAAGATTCTACAGTGTCAACACCCTGCCAGGAACTGGAGAGCTGCTGAGTTCCTGTATCACCCTCCAGGCATGTGATCCTCCTCAGGCGTGATTCAGATGGCAACCAGGAATGGAAACTAAGAATTTTAGAAGAAATGGCCTTAACTGAGGTAATTTTATAGGCATCTACGGTCAGGTAACATGTAATCAAGAAGCCAGCTATAGCATTACAAAGATAGTTCTGCACCTAATTCTATTACTGCCCCCGGCCATAGAACATCCCCTTCAAGATCAAAAAGTTCTCCATGTTGTTTTTCTGGAAGTAAATGAGTCCTAGAAACACTGGTCCTCCCCCAAGGCTATTTCAGTGAGTGCAAATCTTTTGATTGACCTTGGATAAAAGTATTGTTCCTTTAACTGGTACTAAGCTCTTCACTTAGAGAAACCACCAACTGCCAGGACACATGAGCATCGGGCCCTGGTCCTGCCAGGCAAGTCTCAATGACAGATGAACACCCTCACAGAGAGCCCCAGTGACCATAATACACATCCGACTCAAATGCCACCCTAGAGGATGGAGGCTCACTTTCCTTATCTGTTCTAATGCCTTTCTAAATGAAATGGGTATTTCGGCCAACTAATTTTATTCAAAAGGAACTGAAAAGAAAACCCCAAGCAAGGAAACAATTCAGAAAGTGCTCTAGGATGATGCTTTTTAATTGTTATTTTTATATCTTTAAAACAAATCAAACCATTAAAAACATTATAGACATGTGAAATAGAAATTTCCTGTACAACAAATATGAAAACAATAAAATTTGTACATTGTTTCAAGATATTAAACAGTCACTTATTTGAAACACATCAACTTTTCCCTTTTTAAGCAGGCCCCAAACGGGAAGAAGAGTAGAAGAGAAACACAGGAGATGTAATTGCCACACAGTGGAGCTTTCAGCCTGAAAAGTGGATAGCTTTAAACTAGCAACAATGAGAGGAAACACTGACCAAAGAGACAGATCTCAACAACTGTAAGACAGAGAACATGAGAAGGCAGGGAAAAGTTATTTGCAGGAATTCAAGTCGTCTTGACCAAGAGAGACCCACAAAGTAGTAGAGTGTTACCTGTAATCCTCTTCCTGCAGCGATATCCTACGAGGCATGTCCTACTTATTCACATCGACCCTACAGCCAGCTTCATGTTTACAACATTTTAAGCCTTACCAACTTTTTCCACCTACACCTGGGATCAGCAGGTTCCTTCAAACTTCGGTTTCTGCTCACAATGAGTCAGTTTTGGCAAAACATATGCATACAGTTGTATTAAAAACAGACACTCATTGGATGATGACACAAGTGAGAATTTGGCACCTGCTTCCAACATCAAAATGATGGGATAGATACGTTTGCTTTCTGTAAGGGCACCTGGGCAGTGGTTAGGCAGAAACATAGACCATTCTAGCTAGTCTTCTGATGTTCTGCACATGATCTAGCGTAGAAGATTCATCTCCCTCTCCTCAGTGCTATACAAAACAAGGGCCTTCTGAAGCAAGAGAGCATTCGTCATCCTAAAGCAGTGAGTTCTTGGGAGACCTGGAATAATGAATACTGGCTCTGTGCTCTGCACAGATGTGCAGTAACTAAAAGATTGAGAGGAAAAAATAACGTGACTGCAAGGGGCAGGCGTTCCTCCCTCCCAGTTCCTTTGGAATGGTTCTGTTTGGTCCAAGTGGTTTATCTTTCTTTGTCATCTGACAGCAGCTTAGGAAGAATGCCAGTTAAGAGATCCACTATGTGGACTGCCAGTTTGGATGGAGTTGGGGAGGATCATTAACTTTTTAAATTTTTTTTTTTTTTAATTAAGTATTTCAGAGAAAGAGAAAAAAATACATTGAAGAATGCACAAGTGGCTGCTACAAAAAAAAAGAAAAGCTGAAGCACACTGTGGTTTGTCCTCCAGTTTTGCTCACACAGCACACCACGATTTCACACCAGGTTGTAAAAAATTCCTCTGGACATCTGTAAAGTTACAGTTGTGCATCAGGAATTCCTACGTTTTCCCGTCAGCTTACAGTGGATTCTGCGAGGTCACCAGGTTCCATTGTAATGCCACACATACTCCTAGTATCTGTAGCTTTTTCTGACAACTCTGGTAAAACAAACAAAAAAACAAAATACCAAACAAAAGCAGCAGAGTTCCAGGGACTCAGGTTATTAAACCTTCATAAGATTTTCACTTTATAGCTATTCTATAGCATTATTCATAAACTCCATAATCCTCTGCGATGCAACCAGTGCAATGATCCGCAGACCAAAAAACACACTCCCCCCAAGCTACCTAAGAAGTCCTTCATTGGTAATGCCTTCATTAAGTCTAACAGTTATGTACCAGCAAAATAAATCCAATCTAATCCCTGACTCGTAAAATCAGCAACTAGGGGTTTTCTGCTTGTTTGTTCTGTTTGTAAAGGAGCAGTTAAAACAACAGCAGCAGTATATTGCAAATAATCGTAACAATTACATTAGATCAACAAGATACAGGCAGGTAAGGTGTGTCTCAGTTTTGAATGGCTAAAACAACCAAGAAATCGGTCTTTACAGCAGAATTTTGTGCAATTCGTTTTGGTAAAACAGTAAAGCCAGTCAACATGTGTGGGAGTGCTTGGACACTTGGAACCTTAGTTCGACATTTTCACAGATTTATATACTTGAGGAAAAACAACAACAATGATAAAAAGACACCAACCTGAGTAAAACTCTATTAGAATAGAGTGATCATTATTCACTAAATCATATATTGCACCTTTAAATAAATCATTATAAATTGTATAAAAACAGGAGTATCAGCCAGGAACAGGGAGGAGCTATTCTGTCCTTCATACACACCCCCACACACCCCTGCACACACACTCACAGAGTCACTTGCTCAGTTTTTTTTACTACAGTTAAAGCTCAGAGTGATAGACCACACTCCTTTTCCTCTAGCAGAGGCACCGAAACATTAAGGCAGGGGATATTTGTGGTGAAATGCAAAAACAAAGCTCACCTCCAAACTTCTGGAGAGTCCTGCCAACAGTGCAACTACAGTTAAGTTTGACATAAGCATTATTTAAAAATCTGTGTTCTCATTAAGAGTTTCAGTACAAAAATAGAATCTCTGCTGTTTTTTTTTCTAGAGTAGCAACTAGAAAAGGCACAATTTCCAAGTATAAATGTCCATTTGAAGGAGCTGTTTCTTCTCCTTTTTTAAATAAAAGGAACACAGGAAAAAAAAAAAAATCACAGAGGCACATATCTATTAGCTAAGTAACCAGATACAGCAGATAAAATATGTTCCTCAAACTTATAATTAAATATATTAAAACAGCCCACAAGCCTGGTGCCTGTAAATGAAATGATATAAAATTGTAATAAAAAGCTTGTGTTATTATTTTAATATTTAAATTCTAGTTCACTGTTCATACTGGAAAAGCTATTTCACCTATCAGCACTGTTAAATTCCCAAGAAAAAGCAAGACTCTTCTGTTAACTTTAAATAGTTTTTCTTGTTGGTTTTTTTTTTTTTTTTCAGTATCAATCTCTGGCTCCTGCCAGCATTGTGTTTCTGCTCCTGTAGATCATATCTTCGAATGCGGACAGAACTGGAGAAGCCAGACGTGAGACACTGCACGTAATCCTGGAAAACATGAGTGGAACATCTCCCTTTCCTATGCACAGGTAACACCTCCTGAAGACACTGTGTTCCTTCCAGGCTATGCGTGGTAGCCATTGACCTTCCCAAAGCCTGGCCCAGGTGTGAAATTTTCATAGATTGCCATTGCTGTCGTGTTTTGGTAAATAAGATCAGTTCTCTTCTCCTTCTGGGATCTAATAATATCCATAACACATTGGTTTAGGAAGACGTACTGGTCCTGATGGGAGAAAAAGAAAAAGGAGGGCAATATATTTCTAGAAAATAACTGATTTGGGAAGTAATTCTGCACCTGAATACAGGTTTTGGTTTTCGGATGCACTGCACTGAATGTTATGACAGAGTATTTTCTAGAAGTTGTATGTATAGTTCGTAGAAAATAAGGCTGGAAAAGACCTCATGATGAGGTCACCTGATCAACCCTCCATAAAAAACTAGGATCGAATTTACTGCCATGCCTGACACCCTCTTAAAAGACTTTCACAATGGAGATTTTACAGTCTTTTCCAAATCAGCTCGAGTTAATCCACATACCTTTTTGGATCAAAGTGAT